TTAGAATAACCTTGTAGGTTATAAAGAATGCAAAAAATAGAATTAAAAATATTTATTGATAAAATATCTATTAATCACAGGTCACTAAGAGTTATTTTCTTTAGCTTTAGATTGATTTTTCTCTTTCTCTTTGCAGTTGCCTTTAAGGCTTCTTAAACGCGTCTTTGAGCTCTCACATTAATACGTCTTAATTATGGCGTTTGTCAGACATCTTATAGACGTTTTAATAACGTCATAGAAGATTGAGACTAAACAAAGATACAAAAAAGACGTCTTTGAGACGTCGTGTGGTATCTGGGACTACCAAAAACAAAGTCATGGAAGCAGAAAAAGGGAGACAGTACGAGAGGGATACAAGAGGCAGAATTAGGCAAACTAAAGAGAAAATAACTAAGGTCCATTTGCATCACTGGTCGTTAAAAAATAAGCTAAGCTTAAAGTGACAACTTTCCATTAAATATGTCATTTTAAGCTTCACTTATTTCTTAACTACTAGCAGTGCAAATGGCCCTGAAAGGACTATTTATGCAACCAGTTACGAAATGCCTTATTTTATGTAACGAGTTACATGACGGGCAGAGGGAAATTCCACAATATGAACGAATTACATAAAATTGCATTCCGTAACGTATTACAATATTTTGACTAGATTATTTATAAAATTGTGTTTTGGTAAAAAATTAATGACATCTAGGCAACCAACAATACTTTCTTGTATTGTTAAATACATATGCATTCATTGTATTGACAAATAAAAAATAATATTAATTTATTATCAACGACATGTTGTAGTTTGTTAATATCGCTTCTTAAGTTATTTAGTTTCCAAAAAAGTAGGTTATTTTGTTGTGTATTACGTTTTAATTATTTTGTGCTGATTTATAATGAGAAATAAGAACCAAACAACATTATAACTAAGTTGTGTGTTTAACCAAATTCTATTTAGATAAGTCAACCTCTTTGATATAAAATTTCAATTATACTGTATATATTGATTTTAAAACTAAAAAAGGTCTATTTTTTTTTGTGTCATCGGCGTCAACTGCTGTGGTTATTAGCCTCGTGTTCTGTGTAGGCTTTGTTACTGTTGTTTCCCAGCGCCTCTTTAGGAACAGCACTGTTAATTAGTACCCAACAGTGAATGTTCGAGTGGGGAATCCTACCAAGGCATCAGAATTAATTTTAAATAATTAAATTAAATGAAAAAACGGTGGGATTCGAACCTGAGACCCTTGGATCCGCAGGCAGAGGCTCTACCACTGAGCCACCCACCCCGTCAAGTCTATTTTTATTTTTCTTTTCGCAATTAATGACATAATGAATTCCCTTTACGGATAAGTCTACAAATTAAATTGTAACTCTTTCTATGTACCTAGGAATGACTTTCAAAACACTATTGAATGAACACACTAGATGTCTGAACCAAAACCATACAGGTTTTTCACATTTTGCTAACCATCTGATAGACACAGTACATGACTTTGATTCTTCGATATATTTCAAAATTTTACATAACACCTTTAATAGATCAACTCTTAACAGCTTTCAGAACCTAGAAATAATGAGAAATCCTAAAGCCTCTCCCGGAGGATGTTTGACTACACAGATACAATTTATATTTTCTCCGATTTTCTCCACATTGCGGTAATTATTAAAACAATCACTTGTTCAACCCTTATGACATACAACAAAAACATATTTAATTATTCGCTTTCATCCCCTTTTTCGCTTATTACTAATTGTCCTTTTTATCTAATTTATTTCTCCTAGATCCTACCATAGACTGATCGTAGACAGAGTCCTTGTCCTGTAGTAGCCAGCCATTCCTGTGTCACTTACCTAGAGGTAGAAAATCGGTATCTAAGAACATTTACTCTTAAAAGGCATTTTTCATGGTATGTAGTTCTTCGGACAGTACCAGTACCTGTACGACGTTGTTGCCTTTACTCTGTGGTCCAATCATTCTAAACTCAAAGTACCCTATTCTCCTATTATCCTATTATCAATTTTCCCACAGCCCTATAATCCTAACTCGTTCAAATTCACTTAATTGATTAAAATTAGCGTCTCTATTCACTGGAGGCATAGTAAACCTTGTTAGGGTTTTGTACCCAAAGGGTAACCTACTGTACCCTATTACTAAGCCTCCGCTGTCCGTCTGTCTATAAGCGGGTTGTATCTCATGATCTGTAATAGGTAGACAGTTGAAATTTTCACAGAATGTGCATTTCTGTTGCCACTATAACACCAAATCATAAAAAAGAAAATAAAGGACTTTTGTTTGGCTTTTTTTGCTTGATCTTAATAATAAAGTATTTAAAAAGTAGGTACTTACATAGTATTAAATCTTGTACGATGGTGCGTAACCCTTCATGTGCGATTGAGACTCGTACTTGGCTCTTTTTAACAAGCTTTTATTAGCTTCACCTGTATGTATGTATGTTTGCAACTCTCCTTTGGACTAAAAGCAAGTGGCTTATTACTGTCAGTATATCCCACTACCTCAAGTTCGTTCGTTGACCGAGCAGTCTAAGGCGCGGGTCTTCGCTTACGTCGACTCACCGATCGTGGGTTCTAAAAAAAAATAATTGTTTTTTTTCGGCAATTTTTTTTAATAATTAATCGAACTAAAAAGTAAAAATAAATATAGTTTAAAAAAACTAAAAACACGCTTTTAGAGCATAGGTAGCAAACTAAAAATTTAAAAATAATTTTTTTAACTCGCTTTTATTCAAATAAGCTTAAAACAATAATAAATGGAAAATGCTAGTATTAATGTGAAAAAAGCGTGGAGCGCTTTGTCCATATTTCTCGTACAATTCTCTTGCAATTTCCTACTCGGAAACATAATATTTGAAATATCTGACATAACAATTTTTTTTGAAAAAAAGTCATTTAAAGATCAGATACATAAATTTTATGTTATTTTGAAACACAATAAATTAATAAAAGATATTTATTTGTAATTAAGTGCTTAATCTAAAAAAATAATAATAATAATAATAATAATAAAAAGAATTTAATGACAATTTCACAAATTCTTTTTATTATTATTATTTTTTTTATTATTATTTTGTTAGATTAAGCATTTAATTACAAATAATTATCTTTTATTCATTTATTGTGTTCTCAAAATAAAAAAAATTTATGTATCTGATCTTTAAATGTCTTCTATTAAAAAAAAAATGTTATGTAAGATATTTCTAATATTATGTTTCCGAGTAGGAAATTGCAAGATCTATCAAAATCAAGAAAAAAAAATTGAGGTTACCATTTAAAAAAATTGTCAATGACGTCACTGCCCAAAAATGGGAAGTGGGGGAAAATTGAATTCTATTTAAAAAATTGCGCTTTGAGTAATCAAAATTGACCTGTCCGAGCATTTTTTCGAAAAACCAGCTACTTCCATTATAATGAATTTATTCCTTTCATTTGAACCATACTGTAGAAAATGTAAGATGTAAGTTATTTCGATTAAATAAAGATATGTCCCAGTATAAAATGGAATTACGTCGAGAGCTAAAAGAGAAAAACGGCCATTATAAACACCTTCTCAGGGGAATGGATTCGGTTTCCTAGAACTCTACAGGAAGAACAACAAATTTAGTTAGTTTTTATAGTAGCAAGAAATTTTCCAGGGATAATTGGGGCAGTAGATTGTACCCATGTTGAAATCCTGCGACCAAATGAAGAGAAAAATAAGTGAATCGGTTTTTTTGGAAAAGATCACATTTACTTAAATTTAATTTATTTGTGACCTTTTCCAAACTTATTTACAATAAAAGATTAAAAATAAAAATCTGATACATTATTTATTAAACATAGTTTTACAATGACATTATTAAGTAAGTTTGGAGACCTCTGTCGGCAGTCAAGTATCATACTGTAAAATTATTTTATTGGAAAAATATCCTGGATTAAGGATTTAAAATTATTATCTTTTTTATACTGATGCTGTGGCTGTATGTGCCTCTTCAGCAGGAAGATTCGCCTCGGACCTAGCAGATTTTGCTGTTAAAAAAATATGGCAGAATAAACCTATTATAATGTTTACACCACACACCACAATAAAAAATTCACTTGATTTAACAACAAAGCTAATGGCTTTACCGTAATTCCTATTTTTACGTTTGTTACTTTTTTTTCATTTTAAATTAAATCCAATGTCATATGTTTTAAAATCAAAACAAAAATGTATGACGTCTCGCTTCGTGGCGATATTTACAGTCGACTCCTGGCGATTATTTGGAGACACGGAGTGCCAATCGATAGGATTGAAGCGACCGGTAGAATTTTTTATGACACGGAGTCCCTGTGCAGTTGTGGAAAAAAATGGATTGGAATTTTTTGTGATGACATTTAAAAAGTAAGGTTTACATTCCAAAACTAAACAAAAAACATTTTTAGCAATTGTTACTTTGAAAATAAATTATACTTTTAAATTACGTTTTGATTTTATGCAACCCCAAAACGCACTAGAAACTAAAATTTGATAAGTACCTACGCTGAATTCCTCGTTCCATCAGCTTTGCAATGAAGAGTCACAAGCCAAAGGGTTTCATTTGAAAAAAAAAACATGTTGAGGGTGGTTTCAGCTACCTCCGAAGGGCTATATTTTTCAAATTGCTTGCAAAATGTAGTTAATATATTAAAACGTTGACGTATCTCGGAAAATTTTGGAAAACCTTCCTGCTAGCGAATTTATTTCAGTTAAGATATCCACTCTGTATAGTTTTTCTTCTTCTTACCTTTTATGTTGTCAGAAAATATTCCAAGATAGTTATAATTAGAGATGAAGCTGTGTACGACTAAATGACAATAAGCATACCTACTAATGAAAAAACAAAAAAAAAAAAACTAATCCAAAATATTTATAATAGTTATAAAGAATATGTACTGAGTCGTCGATGTAAATTATTTCGATCTAGCCCAAAATAATCTTTTGCGGTCGTTCGATTAAACTATATATATAGAAAAGTTCTACTTTACAGAGTCCAATCCTGTGCTTGAAATATTCCCTCAATAAAAAAGGCAATCAAAATAAACAAAAGAACCCCGGAGGACAATATCATCTTTCTCGAAAGCCGAAACAGTTTTATCAATTTAATAAAAAAATCATACGCAAAATTATGAAAATACTTTGAGACACGGTGGTGGGGAGGAAAATCTGAAAACCTGACACACCTCTATGCAGTGTTTACTTGAAATTTGTGAATGAAGCCACACCAAACGTGACGTTTTAGGGCTGTTTTGCATATGTAACTATTTGTAAGTAATTTAGATTTATCAATTAGTTAAGAAAGATGTGTAGTTGTGGATGACGATTAGCATTGAATGAAAAGATGGTGAAAATTGCTATATTTTTTAGTTAATGCGATTAAATACTACATCAGAATTTTATTTAATTAAAATTAGCTTTAACCAACAAGTGATTGAATGGTCTGAAATTATAAACTGTTACAGTTTTATTAGAAAAATTCAGCACCAGCCAAACATTTATGAAACGATTAAACATCTAAGAACTTATTAATACTTATTCTGTGGTAATATCTGCAAATGATAAATCAAACGTCAAATATGTTTGTTCTTTAATTTTAACAAATTAGGAAATTTAATAATTTAATTTTTGAATTTGTATTGCCAAATCAAATTCTAAAAATTACCGTATTTTGATTTTTTTATCAAGATAAAATATGAAGTATCTGTTTAAAAAGGCCACTCTATTTATTACTAATGATTTCATACTCTTTGATTATTAAAATATATATTTTTTAAATTATTTAAATGATACATTACTTAATGAAGTAGGTACCAAGTAAGTGTTTTTTCTTCAATATTTAAATTTACGTATCAAGATTAAAAAAAAAATCCCATGTGTTGTACACCTACGTATCAAAATCAATATTTAAAATATGTATAATGTATAATAAAATAATTTCCTAATATTATTTTTAACATAAAATACATATATTAAGAAATAGACAAATATTATTTTAATTCCATTGTGATCAAATATATTTATGTCTGCACCTATTTCATATTCATTCCATATCAGCCCATTTATTTTTCTTCTATTTAACAAAATATTGATTTTACTTTGAACTCACATTTTTAATTATGTCATTTTCCGCAGTATTCTCAATTCTCTATATATACATTTCTGAGTTTTAAATTAATCTCCGTCAGGAGTAATGGATTATTCTCTGTTCTTCTATTAAATCTTATTAAGACGGTATTAAAAATTTCCTTTACTAATTAAAATTTGCCTTTGGCTAGTAAGGGGATTTCCGTTTTCTAATTATTCATTTACAATACATCAAATTCAAAGCGGACCAATTAATGTTTGATAATAATAGTTCATATCATTTTTAAACTCCGTTTGTAGTCCTCTGTATCTGTAAAGTGTGAAGGGTAGGTTAACCCACGGCACTTAGGTCACACTATGCATTGTGCATACTCCTAAGAAGATAGGCACGTCACAGCTTTTGAACCAGTCTAAAGATTTAATGTACCTTGGAAACGTACTTGCCATTTAAAGCATTGACTCCGAACCTCTAACAAAAAACCCAAAGATGGGAGATAGGGAGTAAAGGAAAATCGTTAAGCCAAGCAGGGATGTGGACAAAAAAAAATTATACAGTGCAAAAAAATTAACTGAAGTTATGAAAAATTTCAGTGAAGTAAGCTTATTTATAATCTCCAAAAGGTTGGAAATTTATTCATTCATTCTAGACACACTCCAAGGGGTAACAGCTACCCTTCAACTATTGCTAACACACTCATCAAAGGCTCTTGCTCCCCAATCTTTTCTTGAATCACCTAAAACCAAAACCAACCACTTATTAATAAGTAAATTAAATATAGATATTTAGTCAGAAGCTGTTGCTATGAAATATCATTAAGCTAACATACCATATCCCAACATCCAGGGATTTCATTTCAAAACTAGCCACCCAAAATAACTTTTAAAATATCTTTAAAACAAAAAACACGTTAATTTATATTTACGGGGGGACACATTTTACAAGTATCGGTAACCGTGCAGTTTCATCCCCTAAGCGGTGGTGAATATCACTTCTAAAATTTTAAATAGAAAGGGGTATCATGTGATAGATCTTCTTAAAGGTCTCTTTTTTTCCAATTTTTGACACATTGTTTTTTTAAATCGGAATAATTTTTCACCAAGTTACGCCATTTTAAACTTTTAAATTAAAATAATTATTATTTACATTGTATTTACATTATTAATATTTTATTTGCGTAAGAATTACATTGTACTTAAATAAGATGTTCAAAATGTCCGCCATTGTTGGCAAGGCAATGGTAAAGTCGCAGCTCGAATTTATCCCGCACTTTTTGAAGCGTCTCTGGTGTAATCCGCTCACACTCCTCCACTATTATACGTCTAAGTTCAGGAATATCGCGAGGTTGAGTTTTATACACCACAGTTTTTAGATGTCCCCATAAAAAAAGTCAAGGGGCGTTAGGTCGGGTGATCTCGCTGGCCATTCTATAGCGCCCCTTCTTCCGATCCATTTATCTGGAAATGTCTCATTAAGCCAATTTCGTACAGGCAAGGCATAATGTGGAGGTGCTCCGTCCTGTTGAAAAAATAGGTTTTCTTCATCTAGTAACAAATTTCCATCTTGATCTATTTGGTTTTCTAAGGATTCGGTTATAAGAGGATTTATCAGATTTTCTAATAAGTTCAAATACAATTCCCGGTTAAATTTTCCTTCATGAACATAGGACCAATAATTTTATTACCAAGAATTCCGGCCCATGCGTTGACAGCGTGCATGAAAATCGCTCCAAACTCGTTACTCGGGGGGTTTTCGAGGATGCCCAATTCAATTCTGGCATTGGAATTACCCGGGGGCGCTCGAAAGCGGCTCTGCAGGGGTATCCGGGGAGTCATTCTGGGGGGGAAATTGCGTAGTCCATGGGAAGCGCTCCAAACACGTTACTTGGGGCTTTTTGGGGATGCCTAATTTAATTGTGGCATTAGATTTCGACGGGGGTGGCTCAGTGGAGGTGCGCGGGGGGTGAATTGGGGGATAAATGTCAGCGTGCATAAAAATCGCTCCAAACTCGTTAATCGGGTGTTTTCGGGGATACCGAATTCAATCCTGGCATTAGAATTACCCGGGGGTATAAATAATAAAAATGTTTATTGAATATTTAATAAACAAATATTACATATATTAAAAAAACAATTGCTTTGGAAGCCTTTTGTGTCTCGAAAGTGGATTTGGATCTTTTTTTGGCGTTTGAGTTCTGTCCGGCACCACGTTGGTTTTTTGTTATACCTACGTAGTAATATGATAATAATATAGTGCTAAAATAATCAAGTTTTTTTTTGATTTTAAAACTTTTTTGGTGTTCAAGTGGTGTCTGGCACTCTTGGACCACGTGGGTTTTTCGTAAATACAGCGCTAAAATGATCAAGTATTATGGATTTTGGACCATTTTTTTGGTGTTTGAGTTGTGTCCAGCACTCTTGTAAGTCATCCTTGATAGATCACGTGTTCGAGGATTTGTTTTTCAACGGCATCGAATATTGGCTTGAGCTTACAATGGATGTTTCTGGAGATATAAGAAGCTGCGGTAGTGAAGAGGTATGTATCTTTAATGGGATATTTTATGCAAGGCACGAGGTGCGGGTGCCGCCGAAGTGGGTTGGAGTGCCGACTTGCATGCAAGCATTGCGATGGCAATTGCTCAAACCAAAAAGGCACTTCCAACGGGGCCGAGAATAGTGACGAGGAAGAAGATGAAGAAGGGGAAGAAGATTAAGAAGGGAAAGAAGAAGAAAAATTTGAACAAGACGTTTAGTATTTAAATTAAAAAAGTTTATAATGAATATTTCAACATTATTAAAAACTCCTATTTGTTATTTGAATAAAGTATTATTTTCATTATTTGTGATTTTTCACTTTCTACTTTATTATTTCCCACAAAGTCACCCCTGAACGCCCCCGGGGAAGTCTAATGCCAGAATTGAATTCGGCATCCCCGAAAACTCCCGAGTAACAATTTTCGAGTGATTTATGGATGCTGCCACCCCCCCCCCAATCACTTTCAGACAACCCAAAATACCCCCGATTAACGAGTTTGAAGCAATTTTCATGCACGCTGCCATTTCTCCCCCAAATCGCCCCCCGCGCCCCAGACAACACACCAAATCCCAGAGATGTCCACAGAATATCTTTTGTGGATATCCAATATATTCACAGGATATCAGAAATATTCCGTGGATCTAATATGGATATCCAAATGTCAGTCTATATCCAGATTATAGAAGATATCCTAATGGATATTCAGCAAAATATCTAATGGGTATCTTCCAGAAAATACAAGAAATCCCAGAGAAATCCACAGAATATATTTTGTGGATATTCAATATATCCAATATGGATATCCAACCAAATGTCCGTCTATATCCCAGGATATAGAAGATATTCGGATATTCAGCAAAATATTTTATAGGCATCTTTAGTAGAGGTTCATAAGTAACCAATGATTATTGAATAACGTCGAAAGAAAATAGCAGAGATAAAAAATATTTTCAACACTCAAAATATTTTCAACACTCTGCCTTTGATTTTGCCCACTAAGGATAAAGTCATCCTTATTAGGACTCTTCAGCAATAAATGAAAATTCTCGACTCCAGTCTCTAATGGAGTGATTAGGACACCAATTTCGATCGAACTAAATTGCGGCGGGTCGAGTATGAGTAGATGCGATAGTGGTATCGCCATCTATACTTAGTAAGCAGAATCAAATAACATCTAGTGGATATCCACGATGGTTTGCGTTCGCGCCTAGACCTTGATATATTTAGTATATGTTCATGGGATATTGAATACACCTTAAAAAAATGAATTTTAAATATCTGAACGGTACTATTAGCCACAATGGTGAGCACAATGGCGTAATTTTTTAATAATTTGCTATATAATTACTATTATTTATGGACATTTGCATGTCTATAAATTACATTTCATGGATATAAAATAGATATCTACCATGGACTGGACATTCAGTGGATATTGGGATGTTCAGTAGATATCCAAAGGATTTGGTGGGCTGCCTGGGGTACCTCCACAGAGCCACCCCCGTGTTCCCCCGGGGAAATCTAATGCCAGAATTGAATTCGGCATCCCCGATAACTCTCCGAGTAACGAGTTTGGAGCGCTTCTCATGGTCTATGCAACTTCCCCCCAGAATAACACCCCGTATACCCCTGTAACATTGAATTCGGAAT